GGAAATGAGTAAATGTGAGATGATTGCTATGTTGGATGAGGGTCAAACAGGTAAAGGGCAAGAAAGCCATTAACAAAATAATCCTCAGCCGGGCGTGGTGGCTCACGCCTATAATCCCAGCACTTTGGGAGGCTGAGGTGAGAGGACTGCCTGAACCCACAGGTTGGACACCTGTCTGGGCAACTTGGTGAGACTCCATCTCTACAATAAATCAAAACATTAGCTGGGCGTGGTGGGGCATGCCAGTTTCACGTACTTGAAAGGCTGAGGTGGAAAGAATGCCTGAGACCAACAGGTTAAAGCTGCGGTGGTCATGAGTGTGTCACTGCACTCCAGTTTCGGTGACAGAGACTCCAACTCAAAAAAAAAAGAAAAAAGATGTACAGGGGTTGGAAAGACCCACAGGCTTGAGTACAGAGTTTCCAGGGAAAACTAAACTCTCAGCTTTAGAGGAGTCCTTGTTTTCTCTGCCACTCTGCTACCTTGGGTTTTTACTGGACTGCTCTAATCTGGCTCTTGAGTGAGCAGAGGTATTTTAATGGCAAATCTTAGCCACTTCCCTTATGTGGATGAGAGCACTTAAAAATTGAACAAGAGAATACTGTGATTCATTTTACTAGTATTATGGGTAGGATTTTCTCTATAAGTACTTTTACTGTTTCATTCAGTAACTGTTTTGTAAATGCCATCAACTTTGGGATAGCAGTTAAGCACTGTGGTTGAGCATAGTGTTTGGCAGACGGTTTGAATTATAGCTCTGCTACTTTCTAGATCTGTGTCAGGGCACTTAACTTCTCTAATCCTTAATTTCTTCATATGTAAAATGGGACTAATAGTACTTTCTTATAGCATTGTGGTGAGGATCAAATAATTCATGCAAGGTGCCTGGAATATATTAAGTGGCCAGTAATATCGCCTGTTACCAGTAATAGCAGCAACAGCAGGAGTGCTGATGGACCAGACTGTGCTGGATGCTGGACATTCAACAAAGAGCAAGAGAGACAAAAGGTAAAGTTAGCAAGGGGAACAAACAAGCAAGATATTGCCATGATCAAAAAATCATAGGGTTTTATGAAACCATATAGCACTGACAAGAAGAGGAAAAGTCAAAGAGGTCCAGAAAGGTTTATTCAAAGACATCAAAACTTTAAAAATATGTATCGTTTGCTGTGAACTGTTGGGTACGACTACAGTTAAGTTCCTTGAGGGCAGGGACTTTGCATGTTGTGCTTGGTCTTACACATTCAAATATTTGGTAGGTGAATGAATGTGAATGAAGACACTCCTTGGTGACTAATTGGACGTTTGCCACATGAAGATGACAGCATGTTCTAGCCAGAAGAGTGTGCATAAAGGCAGTGGACTGAGAAGCATGACATGTGGATTCTGAGATGCAGAGGCTGGCATAAATGTGGGTGAGGATGCGTGAGACAAGGCTGAAAAGGGGACAGAGACCCAAGCAAGCTGGGTCTTGGAAGTCATGGTAACGGGCTTGAATTTGACGCAAAGGAACAGTGAGAAGTCATCAGAGATTTCAATCAGCAGAAGAATAACAGTGTGGTGTTTTTAAAAGTTTTTTTTTTTTTTTGAGTTGGAGTCTCATTTTTGTTGCCCAGGCTGGAGTACAGCAGCATGCTCGCGGCCACCTCAGCCTCAACCTGCTGGGCTCAGGAGATCCTTCCACCTCAGCCTTCCAAGTAGCTGGAACTACAGATGCATCCCACCACACTGGGCTAGTTTTTGTGATTTTTTTATTGTAGAGATGAAGTCTCACCAAGTTGCCCAGGCTGGCCTTGAACCCCTGGGGCTTAGGCAATTCTCTTGTCTCTGCCTCCCAAAGTACTGGGATTTACAGGCTGAGCCACTGCGCCTGGCTTTTTTTTTTTTTTGTCAGTCTTACTCTGTTGCCCAGGTTGGAGTGCAGTAGAACGCTCATGGCCAACACAGCCTCAACCTGCTGGGCTCAGGTAATCCTTCCACTGCAGCCTTCCAAGTAGCTGGAACTACAGGCACATACCACCATGCCCAGCTATTTTTTTGGTTTATTGTAGAGAGGAGGTCTTGCCAAGTTGTCCAAGCTGGTCTCTAACCCACGGGCTCAGGCAGTCCTCTCACCTCGGTCTCCCAAAGTGCTGGGATTATAGGTGTGAGTCACTGCGCCCAGCAAAAGCTCACTCTGAATTCCGTCAATATACTAATCATTCAAATCAATTTTAGTAAAAAATGGCAACTACAGATAAACATTTTTTAATTTTTTTAAGAGTTGGGGTCTCACTTTATTGCCCAGGTTTATCTTGAACTTCTCCTGGCCTGAAGCTATCCTCCTGCCTCAGCCTCAAGCTGGAACCCAGTGTTGAAATGAAGGAGTTAAAGGAAAAAGGCAGATACTACATAAATAGTTCAAATTGTCATGACAATTGTTCTGCAACCAACCACTCTACAATTAACCTGGGTATGTATTAACTCCAAGTGTGAAAGTGTTAGGATTCCAGGCATCAGCCACTGCACTCAGTTAGATTTTTTTTTAATCATTCACCTATCTCACCAGAGATGATCACAATTTTATCATAAATAGTAAGCAATCTGTCTCTGCTATCACTGTGGAACAAACCATCCTAGTGGCTTAAAACAATGATTATTTATTGTGAGTCTGTGGATTGATTCGGATCAGTTGAGTGGTCTCTCTGCTCTCTGTAGGGTAGCTGCAGATACAGCTGCATTCAGCTGGGAGCTTAACTGAAGCTGGAACATCCAAGATGGTCTCTCATCCTCAAAAGCCTCTCTGCACATGGTCTCTCATCTTTCAGTCATTCAGTCCAAGCTTCTTTGCAGCATGGTGGCTGTCTTCTAAGCGGGGTAAAAGGAAAGCCTCCAGTCCTCTTAAAGCCAAAGGTTGGACATATACTGAGTTTCTTCCACTGCACTTGAGTAGGCAAAGTCAGTCACAAGACCAGCCAGAATTCAACAGAAATAGATTCCATTTGTTGATGGGAAGAGCAGCACGTGGGCACAGGGCCAGGAAGACTCCCTGGCTGTCATACTGGGAAACTATGTACACAATTTGATTTGCTAAACACAAAGACAGTAAGTTCTTGACCAATTCTGCTACTAAATAATTGTGAAAACTGAGTTTCAAAGTGACAAACACAAAGTACCTTGTCCTTGCCCATATATTAACCTAAGCGGTTTGCCTAAATAAGCTCACAATTTGCATGTGTGATGAGGGAGGCACGAACACCAAGCTGGAACCCAGTGTTGAAATGAAGGAGTTAAAGGAAAAAGGCAGATACTACATAAATAGTTCAAATTGTCATGACAATTGTTCTGCAACCAACCACTCTACAATTAACCTGGGTATGTATTAACTCCAAGTGTGACAGGTAATTAAAACACAGCATTTATCCAATCTCTCACTTTCTGAGGGGAGGGAGTGGGAGCAAGTGGTTTGTAGACCCAGAGCCCAGGGGAAACACTTCTACATGCTCAGCAGCAGAAGCCAAGTGCACACAATGCATCCTAGGAGATGGTTGGATCAAGCACTTCCAAAAGGCCAAGTCATCACCTCTCTCAGATTTATGCAGGCCACCACACTGCTAGTTTCTACTGTTCCCCTACATCCTCTGTAGAGCTGTCAGAGTTATTGTTCTTAACATTTTTTAACTCTGAGAAATGGCAAAAAAAAAAGGCTAGAGACAAGTACAGCATTTAGATTAGGCATAGACATGTATGTCATTATAGAGATTGTCTCCTGATTGAGGGGGACCTATTATTAAACAATTTTTCAGAAAAGATGGTCAAATCTGCTTATTTTAAAAGGTCATAAAGGCAGCAAGATAGAGATCAGGAGTAAGCCTGGACGCTGAGAGATCACCAAGCTATTGCTGTAATTCTACTAACAAAGAGTGCAGGTCTGATCCAAGAAGAGACAGTAGGAGAGATGTAAACAGTGTATGTGAAATCCTAAGCAATAGAGGCCAGAGACTTCCAGTGAACAGGCAAAAGGAGATGGGGCCAATACCTAAGTCTCCAACTCGAGCAGAAGGAATTCTGACCCACTGAGAAAGACATACAAGAGCAGCAAGTTTGGGAGTAATCAAGACATGTCCAAGAAACATGGCCAGTTCTGAAACAACAGGTTGGGAGCTCGGTAAGGAGGTCTAGACTAAATATACTGAAAACCAGAAGGGGGAACAGACGAAGTACAGAGAGATTCACCCAGAAAGAGCATCTAGTAGAAGAGCAGTATAACCCCGGAAAAACAGACTTGAAAAGCCACAAATAACTTTTACATTTTAACGAACCAAAATATGAAAACAGAATATACTGCCTACTATTTACTAAAAATATTTAGTAAGAGAGGGAGGATCATTCTGAAGTAGATTTTCCACTGGGAGGGTAGGAAAACATGCCCATATTTCCAGAGAAGAGGTCATACCTTAAAACCATATTCAGTAGACTGTTTACTAAGAATACAGAAAACAAAAGTCAATAAAAACCAAACTAGGTGGACAGAGAGTCTTTGAGGGCGGGGGAAGACCACTACTTACAAAACAACCTGAGACTTAGAAACAGAGGTCCCGAAGCACCAGAAGCTGGCGGGGCCCCATCACAGCAAACATCCCATGCTTATTCACCAAGCAACTTCCCAAATAGAATTTGGTTTGTCTCCAGAAAGACACGATACTGATCTGCCAACCTGAGCATTCTGGTCTACTGGATATCTGCTTTCACTATAAATCAATAGGCATTCTGATAATACACCAGTCTCTGAGAGCTTGCTTATTAGTATGAGTCCACCCCAGAGAGAGGTCAGTTCTCAAGCAACAGATTCACTTTGAGTATCTCTAAGATTAAGGGCCAAGCTGGAGTGAGGAACTATTACCTAGAGGACTTAGGGAAGCCAGTCAGAAGGAATCACTCCAGCCTCCCTTAAAGACTTCTCACTGAAATAGAGAAAGCACTTTTACCAAAAGATTAAAAATTAAGATGTGATTCTAAACAAGAATTAATTAGCAATTTTATTTTGACTTGTAATCTATTAACACTTCAAAAAGAGTCACTTTGGAGAACAACCAATGGATGTTGACTCACCAGTCAAAAAGTCATTAATGATTAATTCACAATACACAACACACAATAAATTATATTTACATGCAATGGCTAGACTATCACATACACGGTAAAAAAATACAGTATTTTTATGTACATTTTAAAAAGATTTACATTTTCATATACAGTTTACAAAATTAAAAATTCTCTGTACAAAAATCTTACATGTACAGAGTGTATATAGTCTCATTCTTATGGCTGTGCCACCACACAGATTTACTTAAAACTATAATACTACAAACACTTGGGTTCTTTTTACTTCATATTCAATCTTGGCACCCATATACTAGCACATTATTTTTGAAATGTGAGTTGCAAAGGAAATAAAACATAATCATGCATTTTTTTAATATATGAAAATGAGACAAAATGTCCTACTAGATCAACATGTATCAATTCCGTAGTTACCTAGCCATGTTCAACTTCCCACACTGCTTTCAGACAGGTACATGCAAAACTAGCAGATTATGGATTTGTTAATAATACTAAAGTAACAGTATAGTCTGACAATTTTTAGGCATTAGGAATGCAATAGCCCTAGCCTGTCGATTATCTGTTTAGCAGAAACCTCAATTAAGATATTATATACTAAAATTCACAGAAATGTCAATATTTTAATTCCTAAATATATAGGATCTGCATCAGATAGACACTGATCATTTAAAAAACAAAACAATAATAAAAAAAGGTGTCTGACATTTAAGAGCATATTTTCTCTGTTCTTAGAAATGGGGGAGGGGGAAATACAAGATAAGCCATAAAGGATTATCCACTGTCCCTGCTAAGGAAGCACCTAAGTGCACTTCCAATCTGTTTAAATAAAGACACCCGAAAGCTTTATAAAACGCTTAAGATTCACTATGCTAGTTATCTGTAAAAATCTTGAAAAGTAGCAAATGGAAGGTATCAGCACTTTCCCTCCTCCCCCAAGTAGCTAAAGATCAATGAGAAAAATAAAGTGCCACGGTCTAGAGAACTTGTATTGTTTAAGAGGCACTAACCCATTCAATGGCTTAGGATAAATATGAAAATAGGCCAGATCTGATCTGAAGAATACATAGAAGGTAGATATTCCAGTCTGTGTCATTTCTGCCTAGATGGGGGCTGAACCAGAAAACTACCCACTCCCCCATTTATTGCTTTGAAACCTGTACACATAAATTCTGACACAAAACATTAGATTTCTAAGATGGAAAGCACAGTGTCTGTGCCACCTTGAGGTTGAAAAAGAAGGCGCACTCCTGGTCACTGGGAGGAGAGCAGCTGAGACTCTCTTCTCCACAACTCATATCTTCATAAGAGTCCTCGCTGAAGGGAAAAAGAGACAAGAGAGGAGAGTGCCATTACTTAAGATACACTCACATGTTTTTACAGCAAAAGACAACTGCCCTATTGCAACCAAGAACCTCCATTTCTACCTTTGGAAAACGGAATTGGGTTTAGGCCCTTTTCTCCCTTGGACCACACTGAAGAATTCTTTCCTTTCCAATCTAATTGTGTACTTGCTTGAGATATTCCACAGGCTGTTCCAGAGGTTGACCTTGGAACAAGAGTATGAAAACCCCACGGCAGAATTCTCCATTGTTACAAGGTCACCTTAAAGCGATTCATCTACAACCTGGCTACCATCAGGAGGGCACTGGCAGGCTCTCCAGGTGGACACTTCAAGATAAGCATCAAAGCAAGATCAGCTTCCCTGTGCTGCTTCCAGACACTCCTCACTCCATTCTTTCGCTTTCAAATCCGCTATCCTCAGTCTAAACTTCTGAATTGATTTTTTTGAGGCATGAGTCTGGCCATTTCCTCATCTGCCAACTTTTAGAACAAAGACACCTTCTTTGCACAACATCTCTTGCTTGTTCACTTTGGCCTGCAAGTGACAAGCAGCAGAACTTGCTACTGGCAACAACATGAATATCTCTACTCTTAAAATTTTTACTTTTTTTTTTGAGTCGGAGTCTCACTCTGTCACCCAGGCTGGAGTGAAGTGACATGCTCACAGCAACCACAGCCTCGACAGCTGGACTCAGGCGATCCTTCCGCCTCAGCCTTCCAAGTAGCTGGAGCTTCAGGTGCTCGTCATCAAGCCTGGCTAATTTTTTGATTTATTGTAGAGATGAGGTCTGGTCAAGTTGCCTAGGCTGGTCCTGAACCTCTGGGCTTAGGCAATCCTCTTGTCTCTGCCTCCCAAAGTGCTGTGATGACAGGCGTGAACAACCACACCCAGCTTATATTCAAAATTTAAGCTTTACAGAGATAGGACTTTCTAAAGTGAAGTCTATAGTAATCTCTTTAGAAAATACAGATTTTCTTAAGAAGTTTAAACAAATTGCTATTTGCCAAACCATCATTCTTGTGCCAATTAATAACTCTATAAACAGCTAATCACAGAATTTTAATTATTTAAATCCAACAAATGCCAACTAAAAGACAACATATCTTCTATCACATGGTCTATTTAGATGTCTTAATAGACATCTTGCATCAATAACTATATCACTGACACTCTCAAATATCAAAGCAAGAAACAAGCTCTGAAAATGAAACGTCCAAGCCAGGCTCGGTGGCTCAGCCTGTAATCCCATGCCTTGGGAGGCTGAGGTGAGTGAATTGCCTGAGCCTGTGGGTTCGAGACCCACCTG